GTGGATACACTCGTTATGTCGAAAAGTAGTCACGTTTTATGAAAGAGAATTTATTGGTTAAAAACTATGTTTTTGTTTATTTTACTCACATTTTTAGAGAATATTACTAGCATATCGTGTGTAAGTTTTACAGAAAATATAAATTCGTACTCTTATCACATAGATATCGCCACAGTCGGCGCACATCACGGGCTGCAGTACTTTAAACGATTACAACAACGTCACACCACATGCGACCCTGGTGCACCAAAAATAATTTTTCGGCCTGCTCGGCTGTCCTTACCGACTCTTCATTTTGCTACTCGTAGTAAAAACTTATTTTTAGAGTTTATGATTTCCACAATAAATATAGCTATAATCAAAACATGCAGGAGACCTTTTTGATATTGTTTTGAATCTAGTTGATTAATAAAAAAGTCGTTTATTGATATGCCGTTTTGTTTTCCTAATAATTGAAAAAGAATGGGAAAAAACGTATAAAGAACGATTTGATGTCACAGATTCGTACGCTCCGGCGGTGGCCGTATATCAGGTGACCATTTAGGTACTTTCATAATCTTGAAACTTATTAACATTTCACGAATTTTGTTTTCTTGAACATATTAGAAAAAAGTTGCTCAATTATTTTATATTTGTGCTTTTTTTTTTGTCACTCTTATTTTTACTATCAAACCACTACCTATTTTTAGGTTATCAGGTTCTAATCGAAATAAATTTGAGTGTTGAAATTTATTATGTTTGTCTAAGCGTTGACGAGATATTCCACGTTTAAGTTTAATTTGGAGGGGGTGCATTGGTAACACTACGCCCGCCGTACTGCTGTACCTTCACCGCCGAGGCATACGAATATGTCATGACGTCATGCGGAATATTATAAATCGCGGTATCTACCGAACTTAGAGTCAAATACAAATGAATTTCAGTGATAGCAATTTTTTCGTCGTAATATATAATAACATTTAAACCATAGAAAATTTTTTGAATTGGATTGTTCTTTAGAAATTTATATTCCCTTAAAAATTCAAGGTTAGGTTCCATAGTTGTTTGATATATACGTTTGTAATATAAAAATATTAGTATTATATGCATAAATGTTTTTTTATATTCATTTATTGTCTAATGTTTTTACTATTTTCAATTTGGTTTTCGGTTTCAATTCAGTTATACATATTCTTAGAGACTTGACATTTCTATTTGCCTTTTTAAGACGATGTAAATTTTCCAAGCAAAATATCCACAAAATGTGGTATTATCATACATAATTGGTAGAATCCACCAAAAAAAAAAAAACTACGTTGACAAAATCAGAAAATGTCCTATAATTAAAAAAACAAATATAAAATAATTATAATAAGTTAATATGTCTTAACAGTTGACAAAATATGAGCGAAATTGAACGACGACCTTTTTCGAAGAGTGTGCGATCATTTTACAACTAATATATTCCACATTCCGCTTAGGATCTTGGCTATAAATAAATTGTAAATTTCGAAAAAAGCTTATTTCTGAAAATATTAAATTTCTTTCCGTACCTATTTTTTTTTTTTTGATCCTTTAATTGTCATCAGTTCATTACCTATAGGTACTTTAAGTTAAAAGAAAAACGGAAAAATATTGTGGTGTATCCATTTAAATGGGTACTCTCATCTCATCATCAAGGAAAATATTAACCTTATTCCAAATCGGTTTAATAGGACATTTTAAAATTAATCAGGTGATTAATTTTGTATTTATATTATTTTTTGTCACCCTTATTTATAGATTTGTTACTGGTCATTTAGACTTCCAGTACAATATGTTTATTAAAATAAAGCGAATTGGGTGAATTGGCGGGAATAGTTGTAACTTTTTCACAGTGGCACGTCGACGTTGTTTCGCATGCACTCCTGGTACCCAAAAACAATTTTCGACCCACTCGAATGTCCTTTCCGACTCTTCACTTTTGCTACTCGTTGTCAAAACTAATTTTTACGGTTTATGTTTTCTACAATAAATATAGCTATAATCAAAACACGCACCAGACGTTTTTTTATTGTATTTTGAATCTATTTGGTTAAACAAAATGTCGTTTTTTAATATGACGTGTTGTTTTAATAATAATTAAAAAAGATTGGGAAAAAAAGTCACAGATTCGTAAGCCTCGGCGGCGTATACCAGGCCGTGTACCAGATTATCCGTTTAGGTACACTCATTATCTTGAAAAGTATTAACATTTTTCGAATTTTATTTTCTAGAATATTCAAGAAATAAGCTGCTCTATAATTTTATATTTGTGTGTAGTATAAAAAAGAGATTTCTAAATCAAAGGGAGTTATACGTATACATGGCCGCCCGAATTATCAGCTATTATCTCCGACATCCCCGTTATCACAAATTTTACCTATTGTTATACCTTATGATATCATGGTTTATTACCATGCCTACTCTTATCATTATCAAGGCTATACCTGCACTTCTCTTGTTATCACAAGTGATATTTAAAATCTACTTTTATCACAAGACATACTTATCATTATACCTTATGTTATCATGATTACTCTTACCATATTTATATTATCTCGGATATATTTGCACTCATATCGTTATCACATGTCATATTTACTGTTATATTTTATGTTATCACCGACATTATTACCATACTGTTATCACGGTTATACCTGCTGTTATTAAAATATATACCTAATACATATATTGGTATACTTACTGTTATCACAAGTTATACCATATTTATCTTATCACGATTATACCTAATATTATTACAATATATACCTAATACATATATCGGTATACTTACTGTTATCACAAGTTATACCATATTTATCTTATCACGATTATACCTACTGTTATTACAAGATAAACCTAATACATATATCGGTATACATACTATTGTCACAAGTTATACCATATTTTATTTTATCATATAGGTAAGAGAGTAACATTACTATACTTTCAACTACACAGTTTTCACTACTTTAAAGTATTATGCTACATTTATATAACCTTAATGGTGGTTTTTTTTTTTTTTAAATAAAAAGACAAAATTTATATATGTAAATACTTATTTATTATTTTTAACAATACAAAATATTTATACATATATTATACATTATTACACACAAAAAACCTGCCTTTGTTTATTTTTACTAGGAGTAGTTTTAATTTTTAACTTATAATTTAAATCTATATTAACATTTTAAACATTTCAAACATTTAAAAAAAAAAATTAAAACCAAATCGCTTATTGTACCGAGGGATATAAAAAAAACTTACTTTGATCAACATTGTTTTCAATACATTCCACGAATAATTTATCATTTTCATCGTCACATGTCCCTAGTGATCGTTCGTGTGACGGACCGCTGGAGGTAATCGAAGGACCAGTGGAGGCGATAGGGTCGATGGTTACGGCGGCGACACAGGGATGAACAATTTTAACGTGTTCGTTACGTTTGTCATTACGCGTAAACATTTTCGGGCACAGAGCGCATTGTAATTTAATACCGTCGTGAGTTTTAGCGTGGCGATTCATATTGCGTTTGGTGGAAAATACTTTTCCGCAACCGACGTAGGTACATACAAACATTTTTAAACGGAAAAAAAAAGTTGTATTACATGAATTTGAAAAAATTAACACAAAACGAAAGCGATGAGAAAACCGGAAAAGACAAGTGCACTGTCGTTATCGATTTAATACCTACGAAAATCGGTTTACGTTCGCAGAAAGAATTTGCGCATGGTTCGAACAGGAAAACCGAGAACAATACATTTTCTCATACAGATCCTTACATGCGAGAAACACACCGTGTACGCTGCTGACGATTTATATATAAGTGTACATTTATTCGTACTAAATTCTCGAAACGGGACCCGCGGTACGCGGCGGTAATAAAGTTGAAATTGTATGTATATATGATATTTGTATGTAAAAGATATGGTACGAATCTTTGTACACGCTTGCCTGGCACGAATGTTGTCATTTACGAATATGAAAACCTTTGCTACGTATAACGAGTACAAGTAATATTTATGTGATCGGCATAGGGATCGCCGACGATTATATTTCGTATAGGTATACGAATATAAAAAAATGTCGTATTATGCGGGAAGGAGCGATGAAGAGGTCCGTTGTCGCCGACGGTTATATTTCGTATAGGTATACGAATATAAACAAATTTCGGATTACGCAGGAATGTGGTGACGGGAGTCGTGACGACGGTTATATTATCGTATACGAATATAACAAATCTTATTGCGTACGAGTAATATTATTTTGTTAAAATAATCAACAGGGAGTAGATGACGTGTGTGTGTGACAAAGACGGGGAAGATACATTTCGTATAGGTATACGAAATACTTGCTGTGTATTGAAACATCATCTTGTGATAACAGTAGGTATACCGATAAATGTATTAGGTATAATCGTGATAAAATAAAATATAGTATAACTTGTGATAACAGTATGTATACCGATATATTAATATGTACAACGATATATGTATAACGAGATAAGGTATATCTTGTAATAACAGAAGGTATAACATACAGTATAATCGTGATAAGATAAATATGGTGTCACGTGTGATAACAGTAGGTACAACTGTGATAACAGTATGGTAATAATGATAACATAAGGTATAACTTTAGGTATGACTTGTGATGACGAGATAAATGCAGGTATAACCGTGATAATATAACCTTGATAATGATAAGAGTAGCCATGGAATAAACCATGATATCATAAGGTATAACAATAAGTAAAGTTTGTGATAATGGGAATGTCGGAGATAATAGCTGATAATTCGGGCGGCCATATATTAGGTATAGCTCCCCTTGATTTAGAACTCTCCTTTTTAAACTACTTATTTGCTTGTTTTAGACGATGTAAATTTTTCAAGCAAAATATCCACACAATTTGGTAATACCATACATAATTGGTAGCACCCACCAATAAAAAATTACGTTCACAAAATCAGAAAATGTCCTATAAAAAAAAATATCAAATATAAAATAATTATAATAATTTAATGTGCCTTAGCAGTAGACAAAATATGTGCGGAATTGAACGACGACCTTTTTCGAAAAGTGTGCGATCATTTTACAACCAATATATTCCACATTCCGCTTAGGATCTTGGCTATAAATGAATTGTAAATTTCGAAAAAGGCTTATCTCTGAAAATACAAAATTTCTTTCCGTATGTATTTTTTTTTTTTGATCCTTTAATTGACATCAGTTCATTACCTATAGGTACTTTAAGTTAAAAGAAAAACGGAGAAATATTGTGGTGTATTATACCGGGCGATCCATTTTATATTGACATGATTTCTTTTCGAAATTTAGTTTGAGAAGTCAGTTTTTTTCATCAGTATTGAAGCCCTATCTGGGCTTTCCTCGATATTAAATACGGCGGGTAAATAATAAATATAAAGTTTGGTTTTGAAATAAATCTCGAAATGGGGCTTTTTCGTAAAAAAAAGAATAGGTGGAAAGTGGCTTGTTTGCGGACAAAAAGTGTTCTGGTGCGTCGTACATTTTTTCATTCGTGTTATCATAGATACCCGCACACCATAGTAATTAAACTGTATACCTTCTATAATAACCTTAAAATTATGAGGACATGATAGTATAATATAAATTCTAAATTTAGGTTCGTAAACTTTCCTGTTATTTTTTACAATTTGTTCTCGTTTCGCTCAATTATCATAACAATTACACGTTATCCTTCACTCCGCTTTAAGAAGTACATTTAAAAAAAGTATGTACAGAATTTAAAACCTTGACTATGGATTTTCGGTGTTTTCATATTTTCATATCATAATAACCTTACGAGTTCTTCGTTGTATTTTTTTGGTTTGATTTATATGAAGACTAAAAGTATGTTAAATGATAAATATCCAAATAAGTCATAAATATTATAAAAGAGGAGTTTAAGATTTTAGGAAAAAAAATAATTTCGGGTACCAAGAGTGTATGTGGTATGACGTCGATGAACTCCGTGCATTATGGTATTGTAGCGCCACAGTGTGTAGAGGCAGCGGCGGCAGTATTATAAAGGTCGGGTAAATAGCCGAGTTGGAGAGCCAAAATCGAAAATTATAAAACCGACAATGCCGTAAACATTTCTATAGGTTCTACGGTTTTTTTTTTCCAATTATTAAGAAAACTTCCTGGAAAATAAAAATATAACTCCCTTAAAGTACTATTCCAATCACATTTCCTTTCTGAAAAAGTGCGTTAATAGAAAATAAGAGCAAAATTACTGGTTAAAGAGATTTCAAGAAAAAAACAAAAAATAAATAAACATCATTGTAAACAAATAAATTCCTCGCTCCGTTCAGAATCTAAAAAATTGGTAGATATCAATTTATATATATATATAGGCACTTTAAGAATTTTAAAAATGACCTGTCAATTATTAACAAATTAAGGTTTTTCATTTACATTTTTTTACGAATAAACAAGATCTTCAAGCCCTTTTTTTTTTCTGTAGTCAATTTTTCCACCATAAATTTCTCTCCGATTTTTAATGAAAGCAATTTTTCTTAAACGAAATCTGACTAGTGAGGTACTTTAGGGAAGTGATTTTTCTAGGAGTTTTCCAATTCAAAGGGTAAACATCAGAAAAACATCGAAAAATAGGTACAATATGAAACAATTATTAATGAAAATACTTAATGCATTTAGAGTTGTTACTATTATATGACATATATTGCTGATAAAGCAACACTATCAATTGATATCAACTCAGAATTGTTCATTCGTTAGCAATGGTTAATCGTTGCTTACAGACCCACTAAATACATTAAATATACATACTTAATTACATTAAATAATATATAACAGTGGTTGCACCTGATCAAGGACACATTTTTTTTTTTTTGTTATATTGTGTACACGAAATATTAAAAAGAGATATTTTATTAAAGAACTAGATTCAAAATACAACAGAAAAGGGCTTTGTTTTTTTAATTTAAGTTATATTTCTTGTATAAAATATCAACCGTGAGTTAAATGAGTTTTGTAAAGCAAATAGCAATAGGGAACGTGTGTAATATTGATCTCACGATTGTAACATCGTGTACGCATAGATTATTATTATACTTGTAGAGATATACATAACTTTAATACGATGATAAGACTAGAATATTGTAATGAAAAGAATTGATGAAATTATTAAAAATAAACTGATAGCAAAACCACAAAATACAAAAAGCACAATTATGAGAGCGGTGTATTATAATATAATCATTGTTATTATTATGAACCAATTAAACAAAATATGAAATATTTGTACGAATGGAAAGACTATGAGATACTTTCAAACATATAAAATTAGGTCTTTCAAAAAAAGTTCATTACCTATAGGTAAACCACAAACGGAGAAATATTGCCGTGTATTAAACCGGGCAATCCATGTAAGTGGGAACGTTCATCTAATAATCTCGAAGAGTATTACCTTTATTCGAAATCTGTTTTATAGAAAATTTGAAAAACAATCAGTACAATAATTTTGTATTTATGTTATTTTTTGTCACGCTTATTTTAAATTTGTTACAGGTACATTGACTAACAATACGATATGAATATCAAATTATAGCGAACTCATTGAATTGGCGGGAATAGTTGTGACTTTTTCACAGTGGCACGTCGACGTTGTTCCGCATGCACTCCTGGTACCCAAAAACAATTTTCGACCCACTCGAGTGTCCTTTCCGACTCTTCATTTTTGCTACTCGTAGTCAAAAATAATTTCACAATCCCTATTTTCTAAAGTAAATATAGGTCAAATCAAAACACGCAAAACACCTTTCTTGTTGTATTTTGAATCTAGTTGGTTAATAAAAATGTCGCTTTTTGATATGCCGTATTGTTTTTCAAATAAATGAAAAACACTGGGAAAAAACGTCACAGATTCGTACGCATCAGAGGCGGTCATATACCAGGCCGTGCACTAGGTTTTATTCATTTAGGTACAATCATCTCTAAAAATATTAACATTTGGCGAATATTGTTTTCCAGAACATTCCAGAACATACTGTGACGTGATAGTCCACTTTTTAGTTTAGCTTGGAGGGGAGTAGTGGTGCATTATTAGCACACCACCCAGCGTACCGCCGTACCGCCGCCGCCGAGGCGTACGAATACATGACGTCACGCGCAATATTACAAATCGCCGGTTCTAGCGTCCTTATGGTCGAATTCAAACTAACTTTAACGATATCAATTTTTTCTTTAGAAATAAAAAAACTTCCACACTTAAATTTATATCAACTACTATATCTATTTATGGAATTTTTATTATAGGTCTACTGAAAATCAAAATTAGGTAGAGAATTTGCACTTAGAAATATGAGTGACAAAAAAAAAACACAAATTTCAAATTATAGAGCTGTTTTTTTCATGAATGTTTTAGATATTAAAATTCGCAAAATGTTCATACTTTTCGAGATAAAAAGTGTACGTAAATAGAACACTTTGTATATGATCTCCGCCGAGGCGTACGAATCTGTGACGTCAAATCGTTCTAT